ATTTGATTTTGATGTGCCTCAAAGTAGGTTAAATAATGAGCAAGTTCTTAGAGAATGGGATAGGATAGTGAGCTATCTGTCTTAGGAACACCAAGGACTAAATTGAAAGGCGTTGCAGAAATATGAGTCCGTATGTGGGAATAGATTGGGGAGGACTAGCACTATAATGCATGAAGTTGAAGCAGGGAATGCTGTTCCGATAAAACAACACCCTTACAGGCTTAATCCTCTTAAATCTGCACAGGAAAGAAGGAAGTGGAAACGATGTTGCAAGCAGACGTCATCAAGCTGAGTCAAAGCAAGTAGAGTTCGCTGACTGTGTTGGTTCTGAAACCTGATGGTACTCCATAGTTCTGCGTGGATTATCGGAAGGTCAACGTTGTAACTAAATTGGACTCATACCCAATTCCAAGGCTAGAGGACTGTGTGGAAAAAGTTGGATAAGCCACTTATATCACACAGTTAGATTTACTCCATGATTACTAGCAAATGCCTTTGTCAGAGAGAACGAAAGAAGTTTCTGCATTTGTAACACCAAATGGGTTGTATCAATTTAAAGTAATGCCCTTTGGTATGAAGAATTCACCAGCCACATTTCAAAGAGTTATAAACAGAGTTGGGCAGGATTGACTAATTATACTGTCTATATAGATGACTTAGTGATCTTTAGCCACTCATGGAAAGCTCACATGGTGCATTTGGCAGACTACGAGAGGCAAAACTGGTTATAAACTTAGCAAAAACTGAACTCGCAAAGGCAAAAGTGATGTTGTTAGGACACAACATCAGACATGGAAGGATGACCCCGAGGAACATAAAGATGATGACTATCCAGGAATTTCCAAGATCATCCTTGAAGAAAGCTGCTTTTTTTTTGGGACTGAGTGGATTCTCCAGGAAGTTTGTGCCGAACTTTAGTAGTGTGGTGGCACCACTGACAGATTTGCTGAAGAAGGACACAAAACTTCAGTGGTCAGAACAATGCCAGGAGGCATTTGAGAATCTAAAGGCTGTAATAACTAGTTTTGGCCATGCCAAATTTCTTGAAACACTTTAAAGTCACAATTGACGCCAGTGATATAGGGGTTGGAGCTGTGTTGATGCAGGAGGATAATGGCAGAATTGAAAGGCCAATTGAATATTTTTCAAAGAAACTCAATCTTCATCAGAGAAAATACTCCACTGTTGAAAAAGAATTATTGAGTTTGGTATTGGCCTTCCAACATTTTAAGGTTTATGTAATGAACAATATTTCGGAACGATTGTGTACACAGACCACAACCCTCTCTCTTTTTTGGGAAAAATATAAGGACAAAAATATGAGACTATTGGAGTCTTATGTTACAGGCTTTTAACTTATAAACTGTACATGTTGCGGGACAGAAAAATGTTGTTGCAGGTGCGTTATCATGGGTTTAAAGAAAATGTATAGATAAGATAGAACCAGTATGGTCCAATGTTATAAATGGATGCAGAATTAGTATGAAAGATATAACTTTAGATTACTGAACTATGTATTTCGTGGCAATTGTGTTAAGATTTAGAAAACAAAATGAAACCATCTTTTCATAACGATGGTTCTTTTTTATAAGGGGGGATATTACAAAGTTGGGTAGAGTATACATGATTTGGAAGGCAGGAAGTTAGAATCTGTTGGTAAAAATGATTGTGGGGAAAACAGTGCAGTGGTCCCTTTAAGAGCTTGTGCTTAGAAGTTTATAAATGCAAGTGCACAGAGAGTGCCCAAATGGAAACATTCTGTGTATAGCAGCATTTTTCCCAAGACAACAAGTTTGAATTTGGCCAATTAATTTAAACAAAGCACCTAAATACAGAAAGCCAATTGAATTTAAATCTGATAGTGTTGACAACCTGAAACCAATCATATTATAAGAATTTGATTATGTCATTATGGGTATAAAAGACGAGGGCATTTGGAAAGTCAGGGAGAGCCAACTGTTACCTGCCAGAGTTAGCACCATTCAGCTCTCAGTGAAAGCCTATCTAATTAATCAAAGGTACCACAGTATTTTAGCTCAAGGTCCTCAGTGAGGAAATTATAGAGATAAAACATCCTTGACAGCAGAATTAGCAGAAGAAAGGCATTTGTGAAGAGACTGGAGATGACGGAATGTTTAGGAAGACAGTCTGAGTGAACTTGGAGAGATTAAGTTATAATTTATTGCTTCTTACTAATTTGGGTTTATAATTGTGGGACTTGTCTTTATTTAAATAGCATTCCAGTAGAATTTAGTTTATTTAGAGAGTAGGTGGTATAAAGGGGGGAAATTGTTCTGTTTGTCAGTATCTCTTTTAATTTGTTCATTGTTAAGATTAAATAAATAAATTGTTCCCTGTTATTTATAAAGTGTATCAGGGATTTGCTTTCCTTTAACCATTAATTTAACAGATTACGAGGGTAAAGGTGAGCTTCTCTGGGTGTTTCGGGGTTAACTATTAGAAGGGAACATCCATTCCCATAATAGCAGATTGGGGCTTGTTTTAGTTTAATTATCAGTGGGGTTTGGCTATTCCCCCTCCATAACAGATTTGTGCCACACAAATGCCAGGCAATGACCATTAGCAATAAGAGACAATCTAACCACTGCCCCTTTGACATTCTGTGGTGTTACCATCACTGAATCCCCCACTATCAACATCCTTGGGATTACCATTGACCATAGCCTGGACTAAATAAGTAAAAACAGTGGCTACAAGGGCTGGTCAGAGGCTAAGAATACAGTGGCGAGTAACTCACCTCCTGACTCTCCAAAGCCTGTTCACCATCTACAAGGCACAAGTTAGGAGTGTGATGGAATACTCCCCACTTGCCTGGATGGGTGCAGTCCCAACAACACTCAAGAAGCTCTGACACCATCCAGGACAAAGCATCCCACTTGATTGGCACTACATCCACATGCATCCACTCCCTCCTCCACCGATTCTCAGTAGCAGCAGTGTGTACTATCTACAAGATGCACTGCAGAAATTCACCAAAGATTCTCAGACAGCACCTTCTAAACCCACGGCCACTTCCATCTAGAAGTACAAGGACAGCAGATACATGGAAACACCACCAGGTTCCCCTCCAAGCCACTCACCATCCTGACTTGGAAATATATCACCGTTCCTTCACTGTCACTGGGTCAAAATCCTAGAATTCCCTCCCTAATGGCATTGTGGGTCAATCCACAGCAAGTGGACTGCAGCAATTCAAGAAGGCAGCTCACCACCATCTTCTCAAGGGCAACTAGGGATGGCAATAAATGCTGAGTAGCCAGTGACGCCCATATCCTGTGAACCAATTTTGAAAAGTTCTGAATTAGAACAGAAATGGAAAAGTGGTACAGAGTGTGGGGGAAGACGCCAAAAGAATCTTCCTTCACTCTAATACCTCAGAGTCCATTAAAAGACAAAGACCCACATTTGCAATGTTTATACAAACTGTTCAAGGGCAGAGCCCCAATCTCTGCAGACCAGCACAGACCTTTCGACAAGCCCAGGGTAACTTTCCAACAGGAATAGTTCGACAGGAGCAGGGACTTTGATGGAACATTAGACACAGAATGAATGATCTTGCTGCACAATTAACCCTGTAGCCAACTGGAATGACTGGACCCTGTGTAGGTGTCATATGCATCACAAAGCTCGATGGTCTGGTTATTCTTTAACAGGAAAGTGTTGATCATAACCTGTATGTTTCACTATTACAGCACCATTCACAGCCACAGTGTGCCTTACCGCTATTTATAACCAATGAAATGCCTTTAAAGTGTTGCCACTGTCAGACGCACCATCATGTTTCCTGTTTACATCACAGTCAGTCTGTCTTCAATGTACAAACATCATGAAGACATAAGACTCACACTTTTCTCTCTCATTGACATTCTCCATGTGATAACCTGTAACCATCCCTACACATTCCTGCCGAAAGCCAATATCCAACAATTAGCTTCTTGACACTGTCCCTCTGTTCAGTTGCATTCCCAATTCTGCTCCTTCACTCCCTTTGTATTCCTCAACACCAGGAGCCAACACAAAGCTGTCAAGTTCAGTGCTAAAACCTGCAGTTTCCTGCTCAGGGTTCACAGCTTTTCACACAGAGAATTCCAGTTGTCTGTGTACGTTGTTTGGAAGATCTGCTTTCTGCTTTCCCTCTCAAATGGTTTACTTTTAATCAAGATCAAATTCCACCAGCTGCCATGGTGAGATTTGAAGCCGTGCTCCCACAGCATTAGACGATGTTGCTGGATGACTAGTCCAGTGGTAATACCACTCCAACAACATCCCCTCTTGATCCAGCTCTCATGACTTAAGAACCAATATTCCTTTAGCAACTGAGATGTGTCTAAGAGTATGGGCATGAATGTGAAAGTGAGAGATTGTGTGAGAATGTGTCTATCTGAGTGTGCACGTGTGTGACAGAGTATTTACGAGTATAGAAGATAGAACATAGAACAGTACAGGCCCATCGGCCCACGATGTTGTGCCGAACTTTTACCCTAAACCTAAGGTCTATCTAACCTCCACCCCTACCTTATACTATCATCCATATGCCTATCTAATAGCCGCTTAAATGCCCCTAATGAGGCCGACTTCACTACCCTCTCCGGCAATGCATTCCACACCCCTACCACTCTCTGAGTAAAGAACCTGCCTCTGACGTCTCCCCTATATCTACCTCCACTCACTTTAAAACTATGCCCCTTCATAATAGCTACCTCCACCCTAGGAAAAAGTCTCTGGCTGTCCACTCTATCTATACCGCTGATAATTTTGTACACAAGTATGCGTCTAAGTGCGTGTGTGTATGTGTGCAAGAGACTGAGAGTGAGAGAGAGAGTGTGTGTGTGCGCGCGTGTGTATTTGAGAGACTGAGAGAGTGTCTCTCTGTGAGGGAGTGAGTGAGGGAGGGTGTGAGGGAGTGAGTGAGTGAGTGAGGGAGGGAGGGAGGGAGTGAGTGAGTGAGTAGATTTTCTAGTTTACACACAGTCATGGTGGCCTTTTCCAGTTCCCATGGAAATATCTCCATGATATTTAATATCAGTTGCATTGCCATCATACCCAGTGCATAACATCAAGATGCTGCACAGTACTTTCCTGAACATATCTTGGTAACCAAATTATCAAAGGGGGATTTATGAAAGGTAGTCCCCTCATTTCTCTTTCAAAGTTGGATTGACGAAGAAGCAATGGGTTGAATTGGCACTTGCTGCTTTGTCACAGAGGAAAGATTCTGGCATAACTTTTGGAAAGGAATTGGGTAAAGGGTAACAGGGAAAGAGCAGAACTAAACAAACAGCTTTTTCAAGGAACAAACACAGACGTCATGGGCTGAACGGCCTCCTTGTGCTGTATGGTTTTTGATTGCAGAACACAGAAATGGGAGATGCCATCTGTGAATATGAAAGTATATAAAATGAAAAAAAACTGCAAGTTCCACCTGATCAAAAGGGAGCATCATTTTCTTAAACCTCAGGCTATTTTTTTTTCAATGAATCTTGAGCAGGCAAAGGTAGGAAACAACTTGGGAATATTCTCGAGTCCCTGGTCTCCTCTCTTTACCATTGGTTCGTTCTGGTCCAGGGATGGGAATGCAACGTGTGTAAAAGTAACTGGCTCCACTCACTCACTCTGAACGTACACCATTTCCCACTCTTGCAATGTTCCCTGCTCACTCATCAAAACATTGGTTAGGACACAGTTAAAGTATAAAATGCAGTTCTGGAATCCACCTTATAGGAGGGATGTGATAGCACTGGAGAGGGTGCAGAGATTTACCAAGTTGTTACAAAAACAGAAATGGGGCTGGAGAAATTCAGGTGGTCAGGCCGCATCTGTGGAGAGAAAGCAGTTTGTGTTTTGAGTCCAGTGACCCTTCAGAATTCAACCAGAATGTTACCTGGGCTGGAGTGTCTCAGTTACAAAGAGAGATTGTACAGACCAGGGTTGTTTTCCTTAGAGCAGGGGGGGGCATGACTGAAATGTATAAAACTGAGAGGTATAGACAGGGTAGATTGGAAGAAGCTTTTCCTCTTGATGGAGGGATCAATGACTAAGGGGCATAGATTTAAGGAAGGGGCAGGTGGTTTAGAGGAGATATCAGAAAATAAAACAAAACTGTGGACACTGTAAATCCGAAACAAAAACAGTGCTACAGAATCTCAGCAGGGCTGAGAGAGAGAAACAGAGTGAACATTTAAAGTCCTGCCACAGAGCCTGTAGGTACCACCACGACTGCCTGTCTCCCCGGAGAGAGCATCAATTGCATGACCTCCTGACCTGCCTTACAAATGCATGAACTAAACATGCCTTACTGTTCCTGTGCAGCATTTTACTGGCTAATAAACTGGGCAAAGTGATGGCCTAGTGGTTTATTGCTGGACTGTTAATCCAGAGACCCAGGTAATTCAATTCCACCATCTGCCATGGCAGGATTTCAACCTAGGTCCCCAAAACATTACTTGGTTCCCTGAATTAACAGTCTAGCAATAATAGCAAAAAGCCATCACCTAAATCTGGTGGAACACTGCCTGAATTGTTAATTTTGGAAAATTAACACCAACATATCTATTACATCATTAGTCACCTCCTAAGAGCTTACAATGATGTCCATCTGAACCCAGACATGTGCTAGCCTACAGCTCCATCGGTTTGCTTAGTTTCATTTCCCTTGTGACCTTAATTTCACTAAGTTCATCATTCCCTTCCATCGCCTGACTCACAGCTTTTACTAGAATGCTTATTGTACCCTCTGTAGTAAAGACAGAAGCAAAATATTTATTTTATCTCCCATTGCCTCTCTCCACAGAAGCAATTTATTTTACTCTTTTCTTTGAAATACCCCCGTAGAAACCCTTCCTAGCTGTTTTACGTTCCTAGTCAGCTTCTTCTAATTTCTTCCTCTTTAACCTTAGTTATTGACTGCTGCTTTTTATGTTCTGACCTGTTCCTCACCATCGTGCAGTTATATGCTATTTGAACTTGATGCTTACCCCAAATTCATTTACCATAGGTCCTCCCAGAATGACGAGTCCACTTATGCTGACATAGCCCTTTAAATGAGTCTCACTGCCTATCGATCTATTCTCTAGACTAGAATGCTATTTCACAACAGCTCGGGCAGCTTTCACATCCCCATATTTGCCCTTATTTAGGTTTAAAATACCAGACTTGCACCTAATCTCTTCCCTTTCAAAACTCAAAGTAAAAATCAGCTATGTTTTGGTTGCTGCTACATAGCAGTGCCTTTACTCAGAGGTCATTCATTCATCCTGCCATATTACACAATGCCAAGTGTAATGTAACCTGCTGTCTGCTCAGTTCCACAAAGTTTCTTACAGCGGCACAATCTCAAAATCATTCTATGAACTCCTGATCCAGGATCCTGTTGCCAATCTGATTTGTCAGTTTGTGTTGATTAAACTCCCTTCATCACAGCAACTAATAGTTCTTTTTGCATACTGGGTTCCACATTGCAGGAACTGTTTAGGGGTTTGTACAGCACCTCCCATTAATGATTTCTTTCCTATTCCTCATCTTTATCCAAAGCGATTCTATATCCTGATCTCCTGAATCAAGGTAATCTCTAACAACTGCATGTCATCCTTTACTACCTCTCCACCTTTACCTAGCTTCCTGTTCTTCAATGTTCAAGGCCAAATCCTTGTCATTTTGCAGCCACAACTCTGCAATGGCTATAACAGCAAATTTATTTATTCCAGCTTGTGCTCTCACTTTGCTTTACTTGGTCATGAATGCTGCACGCATTCTTTAATCTTGTCTTTATCATCTTTGTTGGTGCATCCCGATCTCCTTTTGCACTCACCCAGCAGGAATGCCATCCTCGCTGAGAGGTTTCATGGATCAGCCTTTCAAGGGTAAGACCAGAGAAGAGGAACAGCTCTGTGTGGGTACAGCCAGCTCTACACTGATAGCAGTACAATACAGTATTCATGTCCTATCAGCAGCAGCAGAAACCAGCCCACACGTTTAAATTTACTAGGCAGTTTCAGCAGATATCCCTTTCCCCCCAGACAGCATGTCCTAAAGTTCAACAGCAATATCTTCAGCCCATCACCCCTCAACAGCAGATCTAGCCCAACATCTCTAACTGAAAGGTTTGGGAATTGGTGGACAAAGAGACGGTGACAGACAGACAAAGACACACACACATTAGACTGTGAAGAGATTTGTTGCTTCAGTATTTACTGGATTCATAATTGTGATTAGCCAGAACATTACAATTCAAAGTTTTGCACAATTCAAAACAGGCATGATTAACATCGGAAACTCTTTCACAATCACTTGACCCTAAGCGAGCAGGACAATAAAATACATTCACACACTTGAGTCAGATGACCTTAACAGTCATGTGTGCTGTAACTTTAAAGGCTGTGAATAAATTGTTTAGTCTTAATGATGCAAGATCAGGGTAATGTGGTTTAAATGAAGATTACTGGGGAACTGTGGAAATAGCAGGCAGAATGCAGCTATCCCTTTACGGAGATGCTGGTGGACAGTGTTGGGAAATCATTGTTAAAAATAAGTGTATGTGCACGTTTAGTCTCATTTTTCTGTGGGAACAGGTAAACAAACAGCGACCAGCAGTTTCTGTCACTCCTATGTTAGGAGATAAGCTGGTGCTGCATCTTAACTTTCTAAACATTCCATTTCAGAACATATCGGGACACTAGAGATGGATCAAGTTCCATCAGTCGCAAATGCCCCACAAGTCCTGGGTCACTGACCATAACAAAACTTTGAAAAACGCTCATTATATTTAAGGACCAAATATCCCATACGCAAAACAGACCAATAAATCACAATAAGGTCAGAAAGCAGGCAAACAGCCTGGTGCACAGGCACCAAGGTCCACAGAGGGTCAAGTAACTGGGAGACAGTTCATTACAAACAATTATCAAAAATGACTGTTAAATAAAGTGCTAAAGAAAAAGATTACAAAATGAAAATTGAAAAATACATAACTGAGCCGTGTAATGCAGAATGCAGGCAATACTTAGATCAAAACTGTCATAATGCCCTTTAAAAACCCACTTTGATATTGCATTTTCAAGTACAAGTATGTGGCAAAATTGAAGTAATCACAATACGTTTTTATTTCATAAACAGTTGCTCCAATGTTTGGCCAAAAGTTTACATGTATTTTTTTTGGTTCCTACTATTCCCTGCTTCATCTGCCCGGCTGCCCGAAGTGCAGGATTACCTCCAGCTGTCCAGGATGTTGCTCCGTCACCTCTTCATAGCATTCGGCTTCGCTTGTGACTGGGTGATTCAGTGATGACGTCGCTGCATTGGGCCGGAGCCCGCTTCCTTGAGCTGTCCAGATGGTGAGCCATCTCTTCAGCTATAAAACTGTTTAAGTCCACGTCCTGCAGGCTGCCACGCCTACGCACCGAGGCGGAGTTACTGCCGCCATGTGTCGGGGACCCGGGTGTTCCTGAGCGCACACTGACATTCGCCATGGCACCACTGAGGCCTGTGGGGGAGGGGGGCAAGATACATCAAGTCAGAAGTGATCATTATCAATCTCAGCTCTACTTTCTCTCTCAACACACCACTGGGCTTCAGGCAGCCCTGAGAGTAGGACAGAGCTTTCTAACACAGCAGCACAATGGATCAGTCAATCCCAAAGAAAAGTGTGGGAGAACAGAGAGAGCCAAATATATAATCCCCAAAACAAGGGGGGCAGGGAGTTAAAGCCAAAAAAGACCATCTTGTGGTTTATAACCCGGATCAGTGAACAAGTGATAAGCAGCAATGATCAATTTGTACAAGAGAACCATTCATCTGCCAAAGTGATCAGACAATCAAAGTGAGGCTAGTTCTATAACTTTGTACAATACTGGGAGATCCATTATGAGGACATTAAAGCAATAGCAAGGTTCCAGTGCAGAATTACCAGTGAGGGGAAGATTTAGTTATCACAGACTGGAGACACTAACACTGCTTCCATGGCAGCAGAGATTTGAGACGAGAGTTAACTGAGTTTTTAAAATTAAGAAATGGACAGTGATAATGATTCTTCATCGTCCTTCCAGCTGATCAGGTGTGCCACTCAGTCACATCAAAAATATGCAGCAACTCATGATCGTCACTAAAGCCTGAGGGGAAACTAGGAATAGAAAATAAATACTGGCCCTACCAGTAATGGCCACACGCTGAATATTAGTGAGGGAAATCCTGGGTCCCATCACCGCCTGACACAGGAGACTTGAGATGCAAGATAAGGGATTTGGTTCCCTCTGTACCAAACTCTCCCTCACCTCATGCTATAAATAATCAGCTTCTGGATAAAATATTCTTCATCTCCATCTCCATATCCTGCCAGAAGCCATCCTCTAGACGTCCCCTTGCAACAGTCACTAAGCAATATTTAAAATATATAACCATTTCAATCTAGATGTTCTCTTGGAAAGCAAGAAAGTCAATGAGATTTAAAAGCAGTAGCTACGTGGGTCAATGTTGCAATGAAATGTCATGGAGTTGGTATCGTAATGCATGCATGCTTACAGTGGTCATTTCAGCTAGGTGCAAGTAATTTGATAATTACCTCTTGTTGAGTAGGAAATGTGGTTTCACAATGTGGTTCTGATGGACAGTGGAGGGGCTAGAAATAGTCAATATGGTGGAGCTCAGAAGGTCAGGATCTGGCCAGAAATGTTGACAGCTTTTTAAGAGGCTAAAGGGAGGGAGAGACGTAGTGCCAAGTGGAGGAGGCAGGGTGGGAGTGCAAGAGTGACGACAGAATATTGAACTGTTAGGAGTAAATTAGGTCAGGGGAAGAGGGTGTAGGGCGGCAATGCCAGACTGTTAATGTATAGGAGGCTAGAGTTAGGCTTTCAACTCTGATTAGGGGTGGAGAAGTGCAGTGAGGCTCTAGAGGACAAACCAGATTAAAAATGAACCTGGTGAAGTGGCACGAGGAGCAACAATGGCTTTAATTTTCAAAATATCAACCCCAGTTCATAACCTCACTTCTCAAAAAACAGCTGAAAGTGAGCAGATATCAGTCAGAAAGTAATTGAAATAATCTTTCAGTTACCATGCACAGCAATGGCATCAGTAAATGCCTGCAGGTCACCCTCAGCAGTCCTGTTTGAATCTTCCTGTGCCAACACAGAGGAGGGAATGTTTAGCCGAGGTGCCAGTCTGCTGTTCCTGGACGGGGGTGACTTCCTGCACAAGAAGCTGAGCAGGTCCTCTCGGTGGATGATGTGTCTCCTCTTCTTCACCCAAGCCAGCATTTCCTTGTTTCTCCTCTGATAGCCTGCCTGCGCGCCCAGATCCAAGCTCGCTCGATGGGCTTCGAGCCCGTCTGAGGATGGAAAGGTGAATGTTAGACCAAAGAGAGTGACACAATCTATTCTCTAAAGGACCACAGCATCTAAAACGACAAAAGACAAAACGGAGTTTAGTACACACACACTCGCCACATTCCTGAAACAGAACACAGCAAAAGGAAACAGTCCAAACCATATGATTCAAGAACAAGATTACTATTTAGATGAAAACCATCCCTTTAGACAATTCAATCTCATTCCAAGCACTATCCAGTTATTCAAAATTGTTGATTGCCCAGAGATCCTTTGAGTTTAATCATTCACCATACCACAGAATCTGATGGGATAACGGATTGCAAGCAAACACAAATTCCAGCATATAGGTAGAAGACAGGGCAGCTAACGGTGCACAGATTATTAGAAGGGATACACAAGAGGTCAGAATCAGCAGAGAGATCTCAGAAGGTCAAAGATCTAGAGGACATTATGAGAATGTGGAGGATGAAAGGAAGAAAAATCTTTGCAGTGGATCAAACACACAGTTGAGAATTGTGACATTTGCTGGACCAGCAACAAGATTGATGCAAGGACACAAATAACAGAATTTTGATTATTTCACACTTTCATAACAGGGAAGATAGAAGACTGGCTGAGACAGCATTGAATAGTTAAGTCTAAAGATAAAAAAAGACACAGATGAGGGTTTCAGCAGCTAAGGCAGAGATGGAGTGAGCTGATAGGAGAATTTGAGCGAGGTAGTCTTGTCAATGGAATGGATATGGGACTGAAGGAACAAGGAGAACTTAAAGGTTACAAGGAGTAACAGAAAAAAATCAGAGACAGTGGAGGGATTGAACAAGTTAATGGTGAGGTAGCAGAGAGGGAGTTGGGGTGCTGATCTGCAAGGATGAGGGGTCAATGGTGGGCTTTGTGAGGAAATGAGACAGAGGCAGAGCCAGAGCAGATTTGCAAGGGAAGCTGACAATACTTGAAGAAAGTAAACTATTGACTGTAACAGCTAGGGGGTAGGGAGATCAGCAGGTTGATGGGAATAGGATTGAGGGAGCAATGGATTGAGAGGTCAGGGTGTTCAAGGATATGGGACAGAAATTAGAGTTATGAGCCTAGGCCAGGCACACACAACATTTGGGAAATTAGACACTTTGGGCTAGGAGAAAGGAAGGAAGCGAGAATAGATGGTTTCAATCTCCTCACTTTCAACGGGTGCAAGGCTTCAAGAAAACACAAATGAATGGCAGGGCTCATTCTTATGAAGAATGAGTAGTTACAGCAGAGAGAAGCAGGACTTTGTAATCCTGAGAGATCCAGTTGGAACATGAGAATTAAAGGAAGACCACAAGATTACTTGAAACTGCTCTGCCATTCTTGACCAATCTTCTGAATTTCTCCATAGCTCACTGTACCAAATATTCCAGGTGTTATACCAGCACCTGTCTGTGAACTTTAACATTTTCCTGCCCAATGCCCTTTCTCATTTCTCTCCTACATGACTGTCCCCTGATCTAGAATCCCCAGTCAGAGGGAACAGTGTCTCAAATGACCACTCTGTCAAGTCCCTTAAGCATCTTGTACATTTCAATGAGATCACCTCTCATTCTCCTAAACTCTCCACAGTATCGCTCCAATTTACCCAGCTGCACATCAGAGGGCAGCCTTCTCTACCCAGGAACAAACTCAGTGATCCTTTGCTATTTACAATGGTGGTAATTTCCAAAATTCACTCAATTCTGATTTAGATGACAACGTCTGCCTTTTAGATGGAGGTGAGGAAAAATTTTTCTGGAGGTTGACAGGCTATGGGGCAGGATCAGTGAATGTTTTTAAGACAGATTCTTGACTAAATTTTCCCCAGCTTTATGAATTAACCCCACCCGTTACACAATACTAGATCCAAAATAACTTTATTCTGAGCTGGCCCTATAACATACTGTTCTAGGAAGCTGTTGTGAATGCATTCTACAAATTCACCATTAAATTGTCCAGTACATTTAAGTTTAAAATCCCCCATGAAAATTACATTGCCTTTATTAGAAACTCCAGATATTTCAGATTCATTCAACAGTTCAACTACTGTTACCAGCCTTACAAACTACTGCTAGAGAACAATTAATCTTTTATTCCTAATCTCCACCCATACTGATTATTCTTCCTAATCTTCTGACTCCAGACTCCTCTTTAAACTTGATATATCTCATCCTATTAACATGACTCATTTCCCTTTTCCACTCTGGCTGAATTTTAACAATGTTGTGGACCCTGGATTATTTACTTCCCAACCTTGGCGACTTGCAACTATGTCTCTGTCTTGGCAACATGATCGAACCCACTGATCTCTTGCTCTGTTGGTAGCTTGTCCCTTACTATGAATGCTTCATTGATTCAGATAAAGACCATTGAGCTTTATTTTAACCAGTTGAGTATAGATCTAACCTGCTGATAAATTATTGATGTTACACTGTGACTTGCTGGCCAATTCTGCCAGTATATCCCCAGACCACTACACTGTTCTCATTTGCTTAAAACTTTTTTTTAAAAAAAGATTTTAAATATCCTTTTACCCGGCTCTTCCCACTGCTCTTAGCTTAAAGCTTGGTGCACAAATTGATAGCACAGATGCCAATCTGAAATATGTGGAGCCCACACAATGGCCTTTGTCCACTATTGGACACTTGCAGTCCCCTCTTTTCACACCAGAGCCACACATTTAAATCTCTAATCTGTTTAAACCTCCAGCTATTTGCCTGTAGTTTAAGTAACCCAGTGATTATTATGCAAGTCTCTGTTTATTAACTTCAAACCAAATTTCTCAAACTTGCTTAACAGAATAATAGTTGCTGGTTGGTTTGACCAATGTCACTGGCTCACAAGTGGACAATGACAAATGTATCCTGCCCTTTAAAGCTCTTCTCCAACCATGATACCCTGGTACCAGACAGATAATACAACCTTCAGAACGGCCAGTCACAACTGTAGAAAACATTAAATGCTCCCCTGGACGATGGTGTTACTCATCACCACACACACTCATTCATACATTTCCCTCTGTGCCCACCCCCCATACTGGAATGGCTCCTTGTACTACGGTACACTGGTCAGAGGCAAATCCATCCTGCAATCCTGCTGGTCAAACCAAGACCAGAGCTCATAATGAATGGACAACTTTCAAGTTTGCCCCTCTTGGACTTGAGAGTGGGAATGAAGGCTATTTTTACACTCAAATCAAAGCTCACTAGCCAAGGACCAACCTGAAAGCATCTGAAAAATCATGCACATGCAGCCTTGTAACATTACTATTAGAATCACAGAATGCTTACTGCAAGGGCAAGGGCAGGCCATTCAGCCCATCATGCTTGCATCAGGTAAACATTTCACTCAAAGCTGTCACCCACCACATTGTTCCTTTTTAAATTCTAATCCAACAACCTTTCTGAATGCCTCAACTGAACCTGCCTTTACCACACTCAGACAGCACGCTCCATACCCTCACGTCACCTCTGCTGTTTTTGCATAACTGGCCCAATTTCTTTCCTAATTTGACTGCGTGGCAGTGTGAATTTATTTCCCCTTGCCCAGCTACCTTTGTAAAACTTGAAGCACCAGGCAATGAGCTGGCAGGGTTAATTATTTCATTCACAGTGGTGGCAGGATTCGTCCAAATACAATGCTTGTATTTTTGGGTTCAATGTTTTAAATGAATCCTTACTTCTTGTGGCCTGGACTCTGCTCTTGGCAGCATAACAGTGACTTGTTGGCCATGAAGTGACCTCTTGAGAATGAGAGATGCCTTGTCGATGAAAATTCTTCAGCCAGTCTATTTAAAGTTTGATCCACTGATAAAAGGGCTAAAAATAGATGCCTTTCAAAATGTGTGAACCTTGGACATTCAAGCAGAACATGTTACTTAACCCAAGCATAAACATTCTACTCAACTCTGAAGGATCCAGTAGCCATTTGGATCCATGTGACACTGTTTGGTCAACCACACTCACAATGAGATAGAGCAATCAGTGATGTACCTTTATATAGACAAGTCACAGAAGTGGCTGCTGCCTGGAATGGTTTCCACAAGCTCTGAATACCCAGCTGCTGTTCATATACGCGATCTGAAAGAGGCAACATAATTTCTTAAATTGGATCCCTCAACCAAAATGCAAAGCTCCCCCTCAATGCTGATTAAAAGCAATTACATTTAATCTCGACCAATCCATTGGTACCAAGCATCCTTTGTTCCAAAATGGAAACTTACTGAAGACAAAAAGCTGGACTGAAATAAAATAACTATTAATAACCAGATTCAAACAAATTCATTATTCTCAAATTATCTCAAGGAACCATGTCAGCTAAGTAAGAAAAATATGATATATGATGCTACTTTTTTTAAAGCAGCGTACCCCAATGTTAAGGACAGACCGGTACCAAATCAGTAACGTAGCCATGTTAGATAGCAGCAGACACACCAGTATTGTATGACCATACCTTGATCTTACATCATGCCAATTAGAAAACACATTAAGTCAGAACCAAGGAACTACACATCTGGGAGCTGGAAGATAAAACTTTTAAAAGCGCTTGTTTTATCCATTCACGGGACACAGTTGTCACTGGCTAGGCCATCATTCATTGCCCATCCCTAGTTGCCCTGAAGGTGGCGGTGGGGAGCCGCCTTCTCAACCCGCTGCAGTCCATTTGGTGTAAGTAGACCCACAGTACTTTAAGAACAGTGAATGGCTTGGAGGGGACCTTGTGGGGGATGATATTCCCATCTATCTGCTGCCCTTGTCCTTCTTGATGGAAGCGGTCGTGGGTTTGGAAGGTGCTGTCTAAGGAGCCTTGATGAATTTCTGCAGTGCATCTTGTAAATGGAACACACTGCTCCTGCTATGTACCATTGGTGGAGAGAGTAGATATTTGTGCATGTGGTGCCAATTAAGCTGGTTGTTTTATCCTAGTCAGCTTTGAGCTTCGTGTGTTGTTGGAGCTGCACCCATCCAGGAAAGTGAGGAGTATTTCATCACACTCCTGATTTGTGCCTTGTAGATGGTGGACAGGCTTTGAAAAGTCAGGTGGTGAGTTAGTCGCCACAGCTTCTGACCTGCTCTTGTGCCTCAGATGGTGGGCAGGATTTTTAGTCTCTGGCCTGTTATTGTAGCTGCTGTATTTGTATGCTGGGTCAAGTTCCGTGTCTGATCAATGGTAACTCCCTGGGTGTTGATAATGGGGGAGTTCAGTGATGGTAATACCATTCAATATCAATAACGATGATTAGATTCTCTCTTATTGGAGATGGTCACTCATGTCACACAAATGCCAATGTTACTTCCCACTTTTCAGCCAAAACATGGATATAGTCCAGACCTTGTTGTGCTTGGACCCAGGCTGCTTTAGTATCGAAGGAGTTGTGAACGGTGCTGAAGATTGTGCAGTCACCAGTGAACATTCCCACCTCTGTCTGTATGCAGGAGGAAGGTGACTGAGTGGCACAATGAACACTGCACACAAAATTAGACAGTTTCTCTTTCAAAGTCAAGGCCATCCATTTCAAGAGAAATTTTGTCTCAGCGTCTGTGGAGCTCTCATTCTCAAAGACAGCTGAAGGAGGATTCTCAAATATTTTGAACGCGGGGTGGTAGATTATTGACAACTATACATGTTGAAAGGTTACTGGGGTTAAATCAGCCATGATCTCACCAATGATGGAGCGGGGGTGGGAGCAATGTGTCAGGTTGGACTGTTCTTCAGAGGGATTCCATGATTGTATCCAATATTATGTGCATCAGATGACAAATACCACTTTGGCTTGGCTCACAGCACACTCTGTAGTTACAGACCGTGGGATCATGTGCAGCTTCAACTCCTGAATATGAAATCCAGGATTCACTGAGGAAAGTGTCAAGAGCTGCTGTCAACTGAGGCATCTTCCAACCCAGATGATGTGTCAATATTTAGCCTGCCCATCATGCAAAAATCAAACAAACTTCATTTAAACGTTACATTTCTAAAACACATTGCTGATAGGTGAAGTCATTAGATCAAACTGAGATACTTGCTAAATGTCTCGATATGGAATAGAGATGATAATTTGGAGATTGTAGCTGATCTATGACCACAGTGGAGAGAATATGGGGTGGAATGGCCTCTTCCCATGCCTGTTGAAGAGGAGAAGTAGGTATTCCCCTCCAACCCTCCTTATCCACATCTCTCCCCACCTCCTCTCTTGCCTAACTCAACTCTTCCATCTTTTATAACCCCAGTTCCTACCCCACTCTCACACACAATTTACAGCACCCTGAGTTTCTGTCTCTCTCTTTTTCTTCCACCCCCTTATCTCTCTCCAGGTCTCTCCCCCACCCCCAAACCCCTGCCCAGGTCACTCTAACGCTCATCCCTGTTCCTCTTTCTATCAAACTGACCCCTCCCCAGGTCTCTGTCCCCCAATTACCCCTCCCCATTTACCTCTCCACCTCCGGCTACCCCCAGACAGAATTTGTCTCTCCCCATCGCCCCCGCCCGCCGGATTTCTTTCTCTCTCTCTCTCCTCTCCAACGCCCCCCGGTGTCTCTCCCCACCGATACCTTTGTAGAGCTGGGCGATGGCGGTGGCCGAGTTCTGGAAGCACAGCCAAAGCCGCTGTCTCTGGGCCTCGGCCTCGCTTCCTCCGGGGCCGCTGTCAGGCCCGGGCTCCTGCCTCTCATCCTCCTCCAGGCACTGTCGCTCCCAGCCGGACAGCCAGTTTTCGGGGCCGTGCCCCGCCATGCCGGAGTCACTGGGATCCTTAGCCTCCTCCATAGGCGGCCCTACACCGCCCGCCGCCTACTCCCTCCACCTCCGCCTCCGCCTCCACCGTCGCAGACCTGCCACCGCACCGCGCCTGCGCGCAGACTCCCGGGGCCGCCTCCTGCCGGTGTCCGGCCCATTGCGCCTGCGCTCTTCGCGCTCCTCGGCGCCCGGTTTCACTTCCCTTCTGTCCGGCGGCACTGCGCCGGCGTTGTAACCTCGCCCCGCCTCCGGTGCGGCGGCTTCTTCCGAGTGCGCAGGCGCCATCTCCGCATTGGATTCTGGGTGTTGTAGTTGTTCAGCTGCGCTGCGTCACGGCGACGTCTCATACCACGTGATACAGCTCGGTCCAATGAGAATGGGGCGATTGTGCCGTCACGTGACATGCTGTGACCGACAGTAACCCGGCTGTCTATACCCGGATATTGACCCTCCTTGTTCTAGTCGGAGATGTTGCATTTATATAGCACCTCCCACGTTGTGAGGGGCTCAGTTGGCCTGGCCTGCTGGGTTTGTGCTGTACTGTGGTGTTAACAGTTTGGTTTAATTCCTGTACAGGTTGGGGTCTCCATGAAGGTGCTGCCTTCTCCATCTCCCCTGTCCCCTGAGGTGTGGTGAACCCTCAGGTTAAACTCTTCCCCCCCCCCAAGTCATCTCGCCCTTATCAGAGGGCAGGCCTGTGCTCGTCTTGGACTATGGCCACTTTATTCACCCTGTAAATTTCCCTCTGAGCCACTCCAACGTCCTGACTTGGAAAATGTATCTCCGTCCCTTCAGTCTCATTGGGTCAAAATCCCAGAACTCCCTCCCTAACAGCATTATATCATTTAAACTGCTGCTGCAATGGGCTGAATAGCCTCCTTCTGCACGGTAATAATTCTGTGCGATCCTCTGATCCACACCAAATGGACTGCAGTGGTTCAGAAAGGCAGCTTACCAACATCTTGGACAACAAGGTGCAGGGCTGGATGAACACAGCAGGCCAAGCAGCATCATAGGAGCAGAGAGGCTGACGTTTCGGGCCTAGACCCTTCATCAGAAAAGGGGGAGGGGAAGGGGGTTGTGAAATAAATAGGGAGAGAGTGGGAGGCGGATAGAAGAGGGATAGAGGAGAGGATAGGTGGAGAGGAAACAAACAGGTCGAAGAGGCGGTGATGGGGTCAGTAAAGGTGAGTGTAGGTAGGGAGTTAGGAAGGGGATAGGTCAGTCCAGGGAGGACGGACAGGTCAAGGGGGCGGGATGAGGTTGGTCGGTAGGAGATGGAGGTGCGGCTTGAGGTGGGAGGAGGGGATAGGTGGGAGGAAGAACAGGTTAGGGAGGCAGGGACGAGAGCTGGACTGGTTTTGGGATGCGGTAGGGGGAGGGGAGATTTTGAAACTTGTGAAATCCACATTGATACCATT